TCTCCTCTCACCAGCTCACCTTGGCATCGCTCCATCCCAGCTGCAGGAGGCTCTGGATGTGCGCGACGACCTCTTGTGGCCAGTTCTTGGGTCCTCCCTTCAGCGTCTTGACGGCTGCAGGTCAGAGGAAGCCGAGGGATTGATGGTATTGTCACCTGGACGATTTCACCCGTGTACATGTTCATGGTGATGTCTTTCGGGCTGATCCAACTCCATCACACACAGTTGCTGCAGGGAGGAGGAGAGGGAGAAGAAGATCATGAGGAGGGAGAGAAAGGAGGAAGAGGAGGAAGGGAGGAGGAGGAGGAAGGGAGGAGAAGGAGGAAGAGGAGGAGGAGGAGGAGGAGGAGAAGGGAGGAAACGGACGACCTTTTGGGACTTCTCCCTGGCGTGTTAGTCTTCTGGCCGTCGAATGATCGGTCAAGAGCCTTTATCTCTCGCTTTCTGTTCTCCCACTGTCGATTCTCAACCCAGTCCCTCCTAACGTCCTCTATCTGCAAACTCGGTCACCTGCTCCTCATACCCCATGTCAGCCCTTGCCTGTCGCTCGGTTAAAGAATAATCAATCAAAGTGTGATGGTTCTTGATGGCCGCGTTGGACTTCCCCAGCTCCAGCAGGCTTTCGATCTGAACAGATTTCACCTCGTCCTCCGCCTCCTCCTCCTCCTCCTCCTCTCCCGCCGCCTCCTCCTCAACCGCCTGCTCTTCCGCCTCCTCCCTCGCCTCCACCCACAACCACATCATCATCTTCTTCCTCCCTTCCAACCACTCCCTCGATCATCAAACCTTGTCGACGATGTGCCGAGGAGGCCGCTGCCATGCCTGACTAAGATCTGCGCGTCTCTTGATCAGCAAAGAACCAAAGCTGTCAGCCGATTTTCACCCATTGCCGCTTGCTGCCAGAGCCCTGTGTCCAAGATGCAACGTCAAAACAAGGAAACACGATGATGAACAATCATAGAGGAAACAAAGTCTGGTACAGCGCTAATTTCTGAATTCTCTCCCTCATTCTGTCCATCCCACCACCCTCCTCCACATCTCCATCTCCATCTCCATCTCCTCTTCCATCTCCTTCTCCATCTCCTTCTTCTCCTCCTTCTCCTCCTCCATCTACAACGCTGGTGTCCCACTCTCATTCCCTCGCCATCCCCATCTCCTCAAACCCGCACTTGACGTCATGGTCCTCTTTTGACACTGCTATGGTTCGACCCATCCTCTACCCTCCTATCCTCCACACCTCCTCTCACTTTCTCATCCTACTGCTCCACATCTTTCCTGCAGAACTCATCGTCTCTCCTGCTGCTGCTGCCCCTCCTGCCCTGCCCCTCTTCCTCGTGCTCGTCGCTGTTCCCCTACTTTCTGGGCATCTCGCCATTTTCATGGTAAGGATCAGCAGGGGTCCTTTTGGCTATGGATATGGGGGGTAGCCTTCGGCAATAAAATCTCTAAAGTCCCTTACATGCAGTGGGTGGGGTAGTGTTGTTACTTTTTAGTAGAGAATAGGGGTCTATACAGGTATAAGTAGGGGTAGGGTGTAGTGAATTGTTTAATATCGGGGTGGGTAGTGTTTGACTATAGCTCCAAGGGGTGGTCGGTCTTTTGGGGGGTAGGGTATGCGAGAGCTACTTAAGGGTGGGTGTTCTCTATATAAGAAAGAGGGTAGGGTAGTGACTTGGTAGGGTTAATGCGGTCATTGACAGTCGAAAGAGGGGGTAGGGGTGGAGAGTAGGCTTGTTTCCGTTGATGCCGGAGATGGGGAAAGATAACGAAAGAGGAGGAGGGGAAGGAGGAGAGGAGAGAGAGAAGAGAGGAGGACTAGGAGAAGAAGGAGAAGAGGGAGAAGGTTCAGAGGACGAGGAGGAGGAGAGAGCGGAACCTGATGGTGATGGTTGAACGGGAGGAGGAGGAAGAAGAAATCAGAACAATTCACGATCGTCGTTGGGTGGAAAAGAGTATTTGCGCGTGGAGTTATAGTGAAGCGGAGGTGCTGCGAGATTGTTTGATCGCATGTTTGATATGACATCAAGTCAGACATCGTGCATCGTATCTGTTGTGTCAAGTGGGGCTGATGTTGAGACATTCCAGGTGGGGGATACAAGTATGAAGAGCTCCAAGGAGGGATGCTCGTGGATCAAGGGGATCGAAGGGGAGGAGGGACCTTTCTCTTACGTGACAGAGACAGGGGAGACATACAATGTCGACTATGTGACCTACAAGTTTGGAAAGAAGGTCGAGACAGGTCAGCTCCACCATTGTCGTTTCCTAGTGCAGCAGTTTTTCTCCCAGTCTAACGTAGAATTGTTCCCTCCTCCTGCTCCTCCTGCTCCTCCTGCTCGATCTGACAGAAAGATACAGGAACGATTCTGTTCAACAACGGAGACAAGTATGAAGGAGACTGGTCGATGGGAGCCAAGAACGGGAAGGGAGTCTACAAATGCGCTAACGGGGTAGTCTATGACGGGCGATGGAAGGATGACATGCGGCATGGCTACGGGACCTGCTCGTACGCCAACGGTGATGTGTACAAGGGGAAGTGGACGAAGAACCAGAAGCACGGGGAAGGATGCTACACGTTCAGCAACGGCAACTGCTACGACGGGGATTGGCGGTGCGATCGGGCGTGTGGGAGAGGCGTGTGTGAGTACTCGAATGGCGATCGGTACGAGGGGGAATGGAAAGACGACAGGGCACATGGGAAGGGGAAGTACTCGTACGCGTCGGGGGAGAAGTATGAGGGAGGATGGGTGAAGGGCAAGAAGGCTGGGAAGGGAGTTTTCTCCTTTCGCTGCGGGGATGTATATGAGGGAGATTTCAAGGACGACGATATCTGCGGTATCTGCTCCTCCTCCTTCTCCTTCTCTGCCACCACCCACATCACCACCTCCTCATCCTCCTCATCCTCCTCTTGCTCCAACCCGCACACAATGCCTACCATTTCCTACTCTCCTGATAGACCTCTGGCAGGAAAGGGAACGAAGCTGTACAAGGACGGAGGGCAATACGAGGGAGACTGGCTGAAGGGGTTGAGGCACGGGAGAGGAAAGCTGACGGACAAGGAAGAGAAGGTTTTACATGATGGGCTGTGGAGCAACGACGTGCCAGTGATGGAGTCGTCGAAGGAAAAGGAGGAGGAGGAAGGGAAGTTGCATCCTCCCCACAAGCAGGAAGCGAAGCAGAGGCCTCCACCAAGTCGACAGCATGTGCAGACGCGGAACAACATGGGAGGGAGGAGGAAGTCTCGGGCGGAGGAAAGGAGGACGAGGAAGTGGAGAAGGCAGCGCAGAGGAGGAAGGAGCAGCTGCTGTGGGAAGCAGCCAAACAGCTGAATCAAGATGTCCTCATCGATCTGCTGCGCGAAGAGATCCGATCGGTTGCTGAGGAAGAGCTAAGGAAGCAGTTGAAGGAGATGTGCGTGCTCGAAGCTCGAGAGCAGCTGTTCGCAAGCCTGCTGAAGGAGGAGGCAATGCTGCTGCTACATCAGGCGGAAGCAGAGCTTAAGGAGCAGGTAGAGGAGAGGAAGAGAACGTGTGCTTTGCTGACGCGTGCGAAGGAGTCTAAGAGCAATTGCAAGGCGGCTGAGGATGACCATCTCAGGTCTGCCCCTTCTCCGTCCTACCTCCCTTTCCCCCCCTCCCTCCCCTCCTCCCTCCCTTCCTCCTCTCCTTTCTTCCTCTCTCCCTGCCTCTGCTCACTTGTTGTCACAGCGGGGAAGAGACAGAGAGAGGGCAGGCAAGAAAGGCGGCGGAGCATCAGCTGGATGTTGGGGTCATGAACGACCCTGGCGCATGGGCTCCGGCGGCTCTCCGGCCCATCACCCCCCTCAAGACCCCGAGGACCCCTGTCTCCAGTCTCGGGCTGCAGGTGAAGGAGGGCGAAGAGGAAGGAGGGCGATAAGAGCTAGGAAGAGATCCAGAGCAGGAGGGAGGTGAAGGAGGAGCAGGAGCAGGAGCAGGAGCAGGAGCAGGAGCAGGAGCAGCGGGGAGTACAGGAGGTGTTTTTGACTCCTTTCTGATTCAGATGATCGGAAGAGATGAGCCTGTCCCGGTTCACTCGCGTCCTTCTTCCGCATGCCGACACGATGGCAACATGCTCGAACGACCTCTCTCAGCTCGCAGACCAGCATCTCCTCGCCGACCAGCCTCTCCACGGGTCTCCTCCTCCTCCCCTCCCCCCCTTCACTTCTCTGACATGCTGCAGGTGTCGGCACTGATGCGACTCTCCTCGGACAAGCCGGAGGAGGTGCAGGACGTGACGGCAGGAGGACTCAGAGGACAAGCGATGAAGATGGCAGGGAGACCGTCGCTGCTCAGAACGAGCTCAGACAGCATCGGCTCGATCCTGCGCACCCGCAGCGGGTCTCGCCTGGAGGTTCTCAAGCCTGACCTGCAGTCTCCGTCCACTCCTCGCATCTTCAAGCGTGAAGCCTTCGGCTCGAGAACGACACACGAGGACGAGCCGCGCGCTGACAAGGCAGAGAAAGTTGTCGAGAAGAGCTCAGTGATGAGCGACGAAGGCCTCCTGTTAGCCGTCGAGCTCAATCAGAAGCCCTAAGGGTAGAAGGCTCGAGGAAAAATGGAGGCAGGAAAGGCAGAGTGAGCTGAGAATGTAATGATGGTTGAAAAGTCTGTGCAGGCTGTCCTGTCGTGCGAATATTTTACACTTCACTCCATCTCGCTCCTCCAGCCAGCGATCATTGAAGGAAGCGTCGTTAAGCAGCTGGTCCCTGCTTGCCCGGGGGACCCTGAGAACCCTCCGGTCCTGCAGTAAAAGATCAACACAGGAACTCAACACTCCTCCTCTTCCTCGACTCCTCTGCCCTCCTTCCCTGTCCCCCGACTCTTCCTTACCAGGAGCTCCTGGTGATCCAACTCCTCCAGGGCTGCCCATGGGGCCGGGCAAGCCTTGAACGCCAGTGTTTCCACGAGGACCTTGAGGGCCTGAGGGAGGAGTAAAAAGCTGCCAGGCAAGAGGAGCAGAGGAGAGGTGAAGAATCGCAGGGAGAAAGCAGGCAAACAACGGATAAAAACAACAAGAGTGAACGAGTGAACGAGGAGGAGGAGGAGGGCGGGGATTGGGTGGGGGGTTCGTTTGCGTCACCTTGATCGCCCGGTGGGCCTTCAACACCCTGCTGGCCCTGATCACCACGAGGTCCCCGAGGTCCCGGGTATCCCTGAAGGCCCTGAGGCCCCTGAGGTCCTTGGTCGCCCTGAGGGCCGCGAGGTCCCTGACGGCCCATGGGGCCCAGAAGTCCTGTGACGCCCTTGAGGCCCTGCAAGACAGTCAGAGACGAGCAAGAGGAGGAGGAGGGAGCTGAGGAGGAGGAGGGAAAGTGGGAAGGAGGAGGAGGAGGAGGGGGAGAACGGGAGGAGGAGGAGATGCTTGTACGACGCTCTCACCTTATCGCCGACGGGTCCCTGAGGACCATCGGGGCCAGGGGGGCCTGGAGGAGCCACTTGAACGATGACCTTGGTATCTTCAGGCTGCATCTTGGCCTCTCTCTTGGCCAGGTCGTCAATCTGAGCGTTCAACTTCTCCTGCTCCGATCGAAGCTGCTCGAAGCTCAGCCACGCAGCCATTCCCCTCCTCTCTCCTTTACCTTTTTGAACTCCTCGACCTCGTCTGGAGTCAAATATGCATTGAGCTCCAAGCCGTCGACCTCCTCGACCAGGGCCGAAGGTCCATGGGCTGATGTCCTCACCAAGACGATCAAGCACATCAAAATTGCTGCGCTGCCTAGTGCAGCAAGCGCCATTCGAGTCCGCTTTGCCTGTGGAAGCTGCACAAACAAAAAATCAACGGAGATCACCAATCTGTGTTCATCCTTTCCATCATCCCATCAACTTCTCTCGCTTCAGCACCTCTGCTGGTCTCTTCGAGCATCTCATTCAATGATTCGATTTCCAACCAATTTCTCAGTCAAAATTAATCATCCTTGCAGTCGATCCCCTTCCTTCCCTTTCCCTTTCCCCTGTGCTTGGCTTGACGTGAATCCGTCGCTCTTCATAGATTACTTCTCCATCATTGGTTTCTCTCCTCTCCTCTCCTCTCCTCTCACATCAACTTGTAGTCTTTCTCAAACACTGAACAACTCTCCACTCCTATTGCATCTTACCTAAGAGAACTCTACCACTCCTTTACTCTCCTCCCTCCTGCTTGCTTAAGAGAACTCAACATTTCCATCTCCTCTACTCTCCTCCCTCCTGTCATCTCTCCTCCTATCCTCTGTCCCCCTCCCCTGCTCTCTCCTCGAGTCCTCACTTCTCCTCCCCTCCTCTCACCTTTCGTCCCTCCACCTCTTCGATCGCGCCATAGAGCGCCATCTTTCGCGGCTCTTCGCGCGGCGCCTCAGCCTTGACTATAAGAACATTGACTATAGTACTTGAAGAGATTGAGGAATAAATTTCACTACAGGCCTCACATAGTTGACTACAAGGCTTTTTCGGCCGCGGCCGGCCCCGGGCCCGGCGCCGGCCCGGGGTTGCACTCAGGCAGTGACTAATTAAAAAGAGGACAATCAGGAGAGGCGAGGACTCCGGGAGGCCGCTTGACCCTGACACTTTGTCGCACAGGCCACATGGCGAGAAGAGGACGCCGAGTCACCGTGAGGGAGCCTGACCGTGACGGCCCTGTTTACTCAGGGCCCGCGGCATGCTCAATGGCATGTTGATCTTGTTTGGTTAGTTATATAGTTTTTCTGGAGTCACCGTGGCAAATTTTTCTGGACGGTACGGTACTACCGTAGTACTACCGACGGTACGGTATCAGTAGTAGCTCAGGTTCTCTCATGTCTGGATGCTTGGATTTCTCAGGCTGTGGCAAAGCGCACTTTGCCAGACCGGACTGTGACTGGCCCACTGCCAGTCGGACCCGGCGGCGGGCCCTGCCCGCCCGTTGACAATCCGTTATAAGGAACCCCCTGTTGACAATCCGTTATAAGGAACCCCCTGTTGACAATCCGTTATAAGGAACCCCACCATGTGTTTTTACGGTGAAGCGGGGAGAATGGAGGAAGAGCTATGAGCAGTCATCGCAAGGGATAGCGCAGTTGAAGGCGAAGAGAGGGGAAGGGAAGGGAGGGAGGAGAGGAGAGGAGAGGAGAGGAGAGGAGATAGGGGAAGATCAGTAGAGGAGAGAAGGGTATGTAGATTGAATTGAGCACAGCATTTTACATGGGAGATTGCTATGTGGAAGAGCAGGGGAGAATGTATGAGGAAAGCAGGATACGGCTGCCCCTGTTCTGCTCTGACTGCTTGCCGCTGCAGAGATCCAAGAGCTTCATCCTTCAGAAATGGCAAGAGGCCACTTACGCCTTTATTGGAGGAAGAGGGGGGGGGGGGGGGCGAGCGGGTGGAGTCGAGGAAGGGTGTGGGAGAGAGGTGGAAGCGAGAGTGGGTTTGGGGGAGAGGAGCAGGAGGGGGAAGTTGAAAACAGGTCTTACACCATAACACTGTTGGTCTTCAGCAACACGATTCCAAAGAAACTTCACCGGGGGCGCGCGGAGAACTTGGGCTGACGTTTGCCTGTACCAAAGGAGGTATCTTCTGCTTCTGCTCCTGCTCCTCTTGACATCTTGCGCCCAGGAGTGAGGGTGACGGACCTGGATCGAGGAGGAGCGGCGAGCAACGCCGGGTTGGAGGTTGGGGACATGATCTTCGTAAGTCAGGGAAGGAGGAGAGAAGGAGGAGCAGGTGAAGTCAGGAGCAGGAGATCGACAAAGACGACATCTCAAGGCCGAACATGCAGGGAGAGGAAGTCATGCGCATGTTCGACGCTTGCAAGCTGGGGCAGGAGGTGGAAGTTGGCGTGCTACGGGCAGGGAGAGTTTTCTACTTCAAGCTCAGACCCTTCGGCTTCGCCAGCAGCCCCAGCGACACCTCGATCGAGGCTGCTCGAAATATCGCAAGACAATCTTCCAGCCCTTCACGAGGAGGAGGTCTCAACTCCTGCTCCTGCTGCTGCTTCTGCTGCTGCTCCTGCTGCTGCTCCTGCTGCTGCTCCTGCTGCTCCTGCTCCTGCCCCGGCCCCGGCCCCGGCCCCCCTCCTCCAGCTCTTCCATTTGATTCTTTCATGGTCCACTCAGTGCTACGATCCTTGTTCTGTCCAGTCCCATCTTT